TTGCAAAATTTTACAGTTTTAAAGAATGTTATAAAACTATAAAATTTTACAATTTCAAAGCATGATTCCTTTTAGCACCAAAAAAATTGAAACTATAACATTTTACAATTTTCACTGCCTGTAACTAAAACTAGAAAACAACTTGTTTAGAAAAGGAAGAAAAATTGAGAGATTGAAGGAGAGAAACAAATACAGAGAGAAGATTGTATTCCGGTAACTATTTTTGATTTAGATCTAGTCGGATCTAATGTATATCTACTCAATTCTGATGTAAATCTCAGATTTGATGTAAATCTAAATAGATTTACATCAGATTTGAGTAGATCTACTCATCTTGTTTGCCGGAAACTCATCTCCTTCACCGCCGGTGGAGGTGAAGTAAAGAGTCGGTGGTTGGTGGTCGATAGTTGCCGGTGAACCCCAATCAACGGTGGTTGTCGGTCGCCAGTTACTAATATCAAAAAGAGAAAGAGAAGAAATAAGGTGTGGTCACCGATCGCCGAAAATCAAGAAGAGAGAGGCAGAGAAGAACAAATGCGTAGAGAAGAACGAAAAAAATAAAATACATAATAGACTTTTGAGAGTATTCAAAAGGTTGTGGGACTAAATAGAGCTCCCCTATTTCAAATAGGACTTCCGAGTAATTTATCCATATATTATTAGCATAAGTTGTTGCATAACTTTTTTTCTTGTGCAAATATCTAGAATGTCTTCAAAAGTTAGCTACAAATTATAGCTGAAAAAAACTAGCTTTTTCAGCCAAATAAGCTTTACAAAAAAAATTACAATTTAAAACAGCAATCAAACACCATTAATTAACTTTTTTTTAAATAATAAATTAAATAAATTGACTTACTAGTATTACCATACAGAGAAAATCTAACCTTAAACTTTTGGTCTCCAAAGGAGACTCAAATTTTGAAAGGTGAGGATCTAAATTCATGTGATATATTGCTTTTTGGATAAAATTTAGTCATGTCCAATTGGAACACCTCTTCCCATGGAATCATGCATTAGTTCATGGTTCAAAAGCCTTCTACACATTCACCTATGGGCATATATTAATCTACAACAAAAATGCTTTAGAGCTCTAATATAAGAGCTCTAATAGCTTTAATGGGAATGTGGGACCCACCCTGATGTGATGTTTGTGCCTTGTTTTGTTTTGTTTTGTTTTTTTTTTTTTTTGCTTTGACACATTATTAGAGCTCAAATTAGGGCTCTAGATTTAGAGTTCTCTAGCATTTCCCTAATCTACAAATACGCATAGACTGGAGTGTTATATATGCGTTGTTTTTTATCATTGTATTTTAAGAGACAAACGTTTATTCAAACTTGTAAGCAATATAGAGAGGGGCAAATTTTGTCTTAAGATCATTGCATCAAACATAAACCTTGATCACCTCTTGTATTAGTTATTCATAATTTTAACATCCTATTTGTGAGTTTAATTTTATTTTTAATTTCCGATTTTAGTTTTGTATTTCAGTTTCAATCTTTGTTCTAATAACAATTTCTGTTTCTAGTTTATATTACAGTTTCACACACTAATATTCACTAGATTGTCCAACAAGTGGTTGCGATGTTTGTAAGTCTCTAGTCCGTCATGTGAAGTTCTAAAAACTTTTTTCACTTTTAAAATATGGAAACATCTTCTACCCAACTTAGAAATTTTTCTGTTGATAATAAATTTATTTTCAGCTACTTTGAACTATAAGACCCACACATTATTTTTAGTGGGCATGTGGGAGTGACGTGTTCCTTGTTATGTGATGAATAAAAATATATATTTAGTTGGCCAAAACACATTTAGCAATGAATAGAAAATTGATGCCAAAATAAGCGTTCATGGATCATGAAATATGTTGGTTAGATTCTTTACATTATGTTGTTTACTCATGTCCCACATAAGAAACATAAGAGAATGTTAGGAGTGTTTGTAAGCTTCAAGTTGGACATTTCAGTTTGGGTCCAAAGGGCACTCAAATTTTGTAAGAAGAGGAGTTATGTGCCGTGGTGGATTAAACCCAAAAAATCATACACGTTAGGTGCGAGTGTGAGATGGGTTGGGTTCGGCCACCCTAATATTTATCTTTTTGTGCCAAAATTGTATAAATTTTTCACCAAAAAAACTAAAATAAAATTGCAGATTCAAATTTCAAATTCAAAATTCAAATAGAAAGAATGCAACTCTTTGACATTTTGGCAATTGCCTCTGTACTCTCCGACCACATCCATTTTTCGTCACTTTTCTGAGGTTCCAAACAGCAACCACCATGCTTGTTAAACAGTGGCGGACGCAGGGGGTGGCTAGGGGGGCCACTGCCCCTGCATCCATTCCCAAAATCTTAACTAATATACTACATCTGTGTTGTTGCAATCCTACTATTAAAGAATTGGCCCCTCCAAATCTCAATATTTCCTCCCCTCCATTTATTTGAAGCATTTAATTAGGATCATGGTATATGTAAGTTATAATCTAAATTAATGTTAGTGTTTAGTTATGATGGTGGTGAGATTGGAAAATTATTAAATCAGAATTATTTATGTCCTATTATGATTTTGGTTATGTCTCAAATTGGTATTCGTTACAACTTATTATAATGACTTTGGTTACAATGAGAAATGGCATTCGAATGATTTTAATTGGTGTTATTTACAATCCAATGCAACTATGATCAATATGAAAAGTATTTTTACATTCTTGTTTTATGATTTTATATTTTGTACAATGTGTAAAAGAATATTATAATCTTGTATTATATTTTTTTGTTTTGTAAATGTCTATTGACTAAAAATTTTATTTGTAATTTTAATGATAATTTTTAATTTTTATGCTTATGAAAATCAATTTTCTAGTATAATCTACGTACACAACTTTTGGAAGAATGTGATAAAAGAAAATTAGTTGTTAAAATTTTATTATATTGATTTTGGTCCCTTCTTATCAAAATTTCTGAGTCCGCCACCATTATTAATGGCAGTCCCCCAATTTAGTTTTCTCGTTCAATTCAACTCTGAGTAATCTTCCTCCTCTATTACTCTATGGCCTATTTTGGGAAGTGGATTATAATCTACTTCTTAGATTATAACCCATTTCTTCTCTTACAAAAAAACTGCTTATAAGTAGCTTTTTACCAAAAAACTGATTATAACAATCTTTTCAAAATAACCCGTATACAGTCTGAGGTGTCAAAATTGTGGGAGTGCACATTATATTCTGGTTCGCTATACAATACAAAAATTGTGCAATTATGTGTTGTGTTGATCATTGTGTTCTGGAGACAAAATGTCCGTCGTACTAAAATGGCGCAAGCACCATAGGCACAAATGAATTTCTGCCTTAAAGACATAGTTTTTAAACACTGGCCTCGATCAAAATTTGTCGAAGTAACATAAATTTCTGTAAGCCTCCGTTTGGGAAGTGGGTTGGCTTTTTGGCTATTTTAGCCTGGGGCTAAAAAGCCTGATTTGGGAAGGAGTTTTTTGGCTTTTTGACTTTTTTGACTTTTTTTGTGAGAGAGGAGTGTAATGATTATAAGTTGGATTTGATGTTTTGTTTTTTGTGACTAAAATAGGCTATTTTGTTTTTTGTGGCTATTTTAGCCCCTAACCCACCAAAACCAACTTTCCGAACTATGCCTAAGTATTTCTGCATTATGATTTTATTTCTGTTATTATATTCTCCATTAAATTAATTTCCAAAAATTTGTTTTAATAGACCACAAACTTGTGATGGTATGCCTATTGTCTCAAAAACAAATATTGAAAAAATTATTATTAGCGATGATAATCATTCTCGATTGTAAAAATATTGTTGAAAAATTTTAAAATTAATAAAAAAATTAACTTTTTTTGTTGAAGCAACATCATGGTTCTAATTTCTCCTTAACCTACACCCAAAAGATTTGGACAACTAGTAGCTCCCACAACCACTAGCATTAGTATCGTGCTTCCCGTCCTTCCTCTCTCTCATCTCTAAGAGAGCAACCACGAATCTCCTCCACCCCCACATATTTGGAGTGGCGGCTACCAACTTCTTCTCCATCATTAACGGTAAGTGTCCTCCCCTCTCCTCTTGGTCCCACTCTATATATGTCTTATACACTCAATCCCTCTTTTCGTGTATTTGGATTTTTTAAAACATTTGAAGTGGTTGATGTACAGGTGACCACAGTGGAGGAGTGGGGATGGGGGGTTTGGGGAGGGAGAGGAAATGTCGTTGGTTGCAAATGAGGGGTGGGGCTAGAGGGGTTTGGTTGGTACATACCCCTTTTAAAATGTGCAAAGTTGGAATCAAAAAAATGAATAATGGTTGCAATCTGCTCTTATTATAAACGGACACCATTTGCTCTCAAAGGATGCAGTTCAGGAGGCGTTACCTCCAGTCTTAAAAATCGCCTACTAATATGGTGATGCCCGAATGCAGGAAGTATTTGACATGCCAATTAAGGTCTATTTCAAAGAATTTATTAGTGTCTAACCATATGAAGAAAAGTATGATGAGAAAGATGAGAGTTTCAATTGGCAGGAGAGAAAAATGGAGATGTTGGACAGTAAAACATCATGCATTCACTGCAGCAATTAAAATGGTGTACAAGATATGATCTATATGGTAGGAACAACATACTTTTATAGACTAAACAGTAGCTTTTAGTTATACAAAGTACAACAGCAATCGCTTGTTCTTGCCAACCATCAAACAATAGCTTGCAGTATGGTATGGATTACTTTGATAGAAAATTTTACCATACAAGAACTGAAGTTTGGAAGAAAGAACAGTGGATGTGATCGTAGCTTTCCAACTGTAAGAAAAATAAGAAAATGTATCCACACATATAATATGCATTTGCATTAACACAGATTGAGCCTAGCAACACAAAATGAAGAACACAGAAAGAAACTAGGAAAGCACAGCCAAACCTCCAAAGGAATTGGTGTATAACAATCAGATGCTGAAGCCATCCTTGTCAAGGTCTACTTTGTTAACTTTCCAGTCTTTATTCATAGGCAGATAGAGTCCCAGCTCTTTCATCTTTGTCTTGATTTTCTCTTCTAATCGTAGAAGTTGATTCGAGCTTCCTTCTGAGTTCTTCCCATCCCTCAGCATTATTCCACTCAACATTCATTTCATATTGGGTGTCGTCATCAAGATAGGGACCAATATTCTCAAAGTAAACTAGATCAGGAAAATCTTTCTGCAAAATTTTTCCCTCTAGTTTCAGGTTCTTCAGATATTTCAACCGTAAAATCTCCACTTTCCACTTCTTATTCTCCTCTGGATCCAAGCAAACGAGTTTTCCTCCCCTAATGTACAGCCTCTTTAACTCCTCCATGTTGCTAGGTTTTAACCACTCCGGGGCTTTTTCTTGAGGGAGGCACCTAAGATCCAGTTTCACTAACTTTGGTGGAAATGAGAAAGACCTCATTGTGAAGGAAGCAGTTTCAGTCAACTGTGGAGCTTGTCCATTCGGTGTCGTCTTCATGCCTACTTGCCCCCATGAAATTGTTAGGATTCGAAGACTCGTAATTTCCTTCAACTTATTGAGCTCTCCTTCCTCAGTAACTGCATTACTCCCTATGTGTATACTCAGCTTTCTCAGTTTCTTCAACTGACCAAGATCACCCAACTTGCAAGGATTTTTCCTCGAATGTCCTATAACAAAACCCTTAAGCACTTGGAGCGAAGCAATCTTTTCGATCCCCTTTGGCATGCTTTCGAGTAAGTAACATTGGGATACATCCAAGTGTGTGAGCTTCCTCAATGCCCCGATATCAGAAGGCAATCTTTCTAAATTGTGACAAGCCCTAAGGTCAAGAATTTCAAGATTGATGCACTTAACAATTGAAGGAGGTAATGCTGTAATTCTCGAAATCCCATGAAGACTAAGATACCTCAAGTGCTTTTGTGCCCCTAATTCCTTCAAGAACTCTTCACCATCCACCTCAATATGATGTTCAGTTGAGTTCTGCCACCTACCCAATTGAACAACCACAAGCTTCCTAAATTTTGAAAACAATTTAGCCTTCAAACTCAAGTAATCCACATTTACATTGAATATTGTGAACAATTCCTCCTCTCTAAGACTTCCACTACCCACAACTAAGCAAACACGCTGCGAGTTCAAGGCATTATTATTATCCACATTAATCTTACCGGCATCATCAAAATCAAAGAAGTTGGCTTTTTTAGCGGCTGCAATCAACATTCGACGAACCCAAGGATGCGTTGTACAACCATCCACAATAGGTTTTTTCTGGTTTTTGGAGTATGGTTGTATCAATCCCTTCTCAATGAGCTTCAGAAACACTCCTTCCCCTACCTCCTCCGCGGACTTAACTCTAGATTTGCTTATCAAACCTTCCCCAATCCACCAATAGATCAATGACTTTTTCTTAACTTTTTCCTGAGGAAAAATTGCCAAACAGAGCAAACAGAGCTTGAGTTGAATATCCAGAACATCATAGCTCCGCTGAAGATGAACCATGGCAGGCGAATTTAGAATGTTCTCCTCAACCCTTAATTGCAACCAATCCCTCGAATCTTTATTGGCTTCATCTACCGATTGATCTTCCTGTGGTGGCTTTTTTCCCAATTCTAGTCGTTGAATCCGGGTTTTTAAATCCTGAATTTCTCCAAGGTTTTCTTCGATCCAATTGATGTTATCTTTAATATTGTCTTCGTCAGCGATGTAGGACTCTAATTGGGTGAGTTTTTCAATAAGAGCTTCATTGCAGTGATTGAATCGAGGGATCGAGTCATCTTTGATGTCTTCAAGCACGGCTTTGATTTTTTTCAAGGTATTATGAAGAAGATCTGGGTTGCTTTGGGGAGTGGGATCTGGGTTGCTTTGGGGAGTGGGATCTGGGTTTCTTTGGTTTAAGTGTTTGAGGAGAATTAGGACGATGTCGATTGGTTTCTCACGAGTTGGCATCTTCACAGATCAAAGACAACTGAAGAGAGTGATGGTACTCAGAGAGGGGAAAAAAAAAAAGACCAAGGGATGGACTACGTATAGTGAAGAATAATGATAAGAGAGAGAGGTAGTAATCAATGGCAATCAACGCAAAAAGAAACCATTTCCAGGTAAAGGAGAGGAAAACAGACAGGAAAGTTACGAGAATCCACGAGAGAGGGGCTTCTCTCAAAATAAGTCAACATATTAAGGAGTTGGTTGGAATGACTTAAATAAATATATTTTTTGTTTTTTTATAAAAAGATGTGTAGAAAAGTAGAGAGGTGCTGTGATAGAAAAAAGATAAAAAGATGGATTATTTTTGGATTGCCAAACTTGGCCTAAATTATTTTTTAAATTAAACTTAGTTTGGACGAAATTTTTAAATTAGACTAAAATGTTATTGCAAATCACGTTTTCACTGTTTCTAAGATCCTCCAATAAAAAATTTGTGAATTAGTAAAAGCGTGATTTTAAGTAAAAAAAAATTTTTTTTCCAGAAAATGTGATTGCAAAAAAAGCGTATTTTCAAATCACGTTTTCCATACAAACCGAACCAACCCACACTCTGACACATACACACACCCACACACACAACACTCACGCACATCACACAATATAATTGAAACAATATAATTTTTATATATAATAATAATTAAATATATATAATAATAATTTATAATAGCAAATAATAATCAACTATATAATTTTTATCTTTCGAGGTGGTTAGAATATTTTTTAAAATTTATTGAAAAACCTTACTATGTATATAAATGCTAAGAAATTAAATGAATTATTATTTTTTACCCTTAAATGATAATTATTTTTTATTTTTTATTTCTTAACCAAATTAATTTTTAATTTTTTTAAAGAAAATTCTAAAAATCAAACTATACATAATCTAAAAATCTTTTGATAAATGACTTACATACGTATGATTTAAGGGTAAAGATTTTGATAAATGACTTAAATGATAAATCAAACCATCCGTAACTTAAAAAATTTTACCCTTAAACCATACGTATGTAAGGGTAAAAATTTGTTATTATAAATTACAAATTATTTTTGATTATAAAAATTACATAGTATGGTTGTGATGACTTGATTATAAAAATTATTTATCAAAAGATTTTTATAAATTATTTAAATCTTTATAAATTATTTATAAAGATTATAATCAATTTTTATAAACGTATGGTAATAATTTTTATAAATTATTTAAACCATATGTGTGTAATGGTAAAAAATTTTAGGGTAAAGATTTTGATAAATGACTTAAATGATAAATCAAACCATCTATAATCAAGTCATATGAACCATACGTATGTAATTTTTATAATAAAAAATAATTTGTAATTTATAATAGCAAATTTTTACCTTTACATACGTATGGTTTAAGGGTAAAAATTTTTAGGTTATGGATAGTTTGATTTATCATTTAAGTCATTTATCAAAATTTTTACCCTTAAATCATACGAATGTAAGTCATTTATCAAAAGATTTTTAGGTTATGTATGGTTTGATTTTTAAAAAATAATTTGTAATTTATAATAGCAAATTTTTACCCTTACATACGTATGGTTTAAGGTAAAAATTTTTAGATTATGGATGGTTTGATTTATCATTTAAGTCATTTATCAAAATGTTTACTCTTAAATCATACGTATGTAAGTCATTTATCAAAAGATTTTTAGGTTATGTATGGTTTGATTTTTTGAATTTTTTATAAAAAAATTAAAAATTAATTTGGTTAAGAAATAAAAAATAAAAAATAATTATCATTTAAGGGTAAAAAATAATTATCATTTTAATTTTTAGGCAGGTTATATACATACGTATGATTATTTCAATTTAATTTGTAAAAAATTATTTATAACCACTCGAAAAATAAAAATTATCGAAAATGAGCCGTAGCTCGAATCCAATGACTCAAATTGGCTCGAAAGAGGGAGAGAAGAGAGGAGGAAGAAGTAGAGGAGAAAGAGGGAGAGAAGATAGGAAGAACAGAGGAAAAAGAGGAAGAGAGGATCGTCGCTGCTCGCCTCGCCACTGCCATCGCCGTCGCCTCGCTGCCACCGATCGTCGCAGCACCAGCGATCGCCGGCTCTGCCTCGCCTCCGCCCCCGGCCCCCGCTTCCAGCCCCAAATGTTGGGCTCCCTCCAGTCCCTCCTCTTCCTCCCCCTCCAGTCCCTCCTCCTTCCTTCTTCCTCCTCCTCCCTCCCCTGCTTCTGGTTCTGCTTCACCTTCATCTAAAAACGAGGCCGTTTTTTAATTCGAGCCATTTCGAGCCGTGCCAAAAAATTATACAAAAATAATTTATATTTACAAAAATTATATAGTTGATTATTATTTACTATTATAAATTGTTATTATATATAAAATTGTATTGTTTCAATTATATTGTGTGATGTGCGTGAGTGTTGTGTGTGTGTCAGAGTGTGGGTTGGTTTGGTTTGTATGGAAAACGTGATTTGAAAACACGTTTTTACATTTCAACACTAGAAGCGTGGTTTGCAACCACGTTTTCTGAAAAAAAAAAAAAAAAATATATTTAAAAGTGTGATTTGTAACCACGCTTTCTTAATTAAAACGCTTTTATTATTTCACAAATTTTCTGCGGGAAAATCTTAAAAACAGTGAAAGCGTGGTTTGTAATAGCGCTTTAGCCTAATTTGAAAATTACATCCAAACTATGCCTAATTTGAAAAATAACTTAGTATTTTGACTTATTTTGGGAAAAGTCCCCAAGAAAGAACCAGCCCAGTATCCCTTTCCTCTTTTTTTTTTTTTTCTTTTACACGCTTAAACATTTGTTAAAAAAAAAAGGGGATAAGTTTAACGTAATTAAATGGGAACTTTTTTGATAAATCCATTTTCTAAGAGCTTTATTCCATCCAACCCATATTCTTTTTGAGTATTCCATTAGGTCCAATTTGAGATAAGAAGACCAAAATACCCTTTTCATCTACTTATGTTCCATTTAGTTCACTTTATTTTCTTATGTTTCAATAAATTCTATGGGTGACATAATTACCAAAATACCCTTAATGTGAATATTCACACCGTCAATATAAATGTTTATATCGTCAATGTGTAGGGGCCCGGCTCATGTCGATCCTTGTGGGTGCCCGGAAAAATTCGAATCGGGCCGGGCCGGCCCACAAGCCAAAAAAATAGGCCCAACCCGGCCCATTGATAATATGAATATTCACATTGACAAGTTAACATTCACATTCATAGGAGTATAAAATTGGCCTACGGCCCGTGGGCGGCCCGAAACCAGCCCATCGCCTGGGGCGGGGGCGGGCCCGGGCCGGCCCGTTCACAATATGAATATTCACATTGACATATTAACATTAACATTAACATTGACAAGCATGTAAAATTGGCCCATGACCCGTGGGCAGCCTGAAGCCCGGGCCCGGCCCGGCTCGGCCCGTTGACAATGTGAATATTCACATTGACATGTTAATAGTTACATTGATAGGAGTGTAAAATTAGCCCGCGGCTTGTGGCCGGCCCGAAACCCGCCTGCGGCTCGTGGGCTGCCTTGGGCGGGCCCGACCCGACCCGTTGATAATGCAAATATTCACATTAACATGTTAACATTCACATTGATAAGAGTATAAAATTAGCTCGCGCCCCGTGGCTGCCCGAAACTAGCCCACGGCGGGCCCGACCCGGCCTGTTGACAATGTGAATATTCACATTGACATATTAACATTCATATTGATAAGAGTGTAAAATTGACTCGCGTCCCATGGGCAGCCCGGGGCGAGCCCGGTCCGGCCTGTTGACAATGTGAATATTCACATTGACATATTAACATTCACATTGATAGGAATGTAAAATTAGCCCGTGGCCCGTGGGCGGCCCGAAGCCCGCACGCTGCCTAGGGCGGGCCCGGCCCGGCTCGTTGACAATGTCAATATTCACAGTGACATATTAACATTAACATTGATAAGAGTGTAAAATTAGTCTGTGACCCGTGGGCAGCCCGAAACCCGACCCCGGGCCGACGCGGGCCCGGCCCGTTGACAACGTGAATATTCATATTGACATGTTAACATTCACATTAATAAGAGTGTAACATTAGCCCGTGCCCCGTGGCTGCCCGAAACAAGCCCACGGCCCGTGGGCGACCCGAGGAGGGCCCGGCCCGGCCTGTTGACAATGTGAATATTCACATTGACATGTTAACATTCACATTGATAAGAGTGTAAAATTGACTCGCGTCCCATGGGCGGCCCGAAGCCCATGGCCGGCCTGGGGTAGCTCGGGTTTGAGTTCGGACCTACCCCGGGCCGCGGGTGAGCTTCGGGCAGCGAACAAGTTTTACACTCCTATCAATGTTAATGTTAACATGTCAATGTGAATATTCATATTGTCACGGGTCGGGCCAAGCCCGCCTCGGGCTGTGATCGGGCTTCGGGCTAATTTTATACTCCTATCAATGTGAATATTCATATTGCCAATGGGCCGGGCCAGCCCTGGCCCGAGGTCGGGCTTCGAGCTGCCTATGGGTCATGGGCCAATTGTACACTCTTATCAATGTGAATGTTAACATGTCAATGTGAATATTCACATTGTCAACAGGCTGGGCCGGGCCCGCCCCGGGCCGCCCAGGGGCCGTGGACGGGTTTCGAGCAGCCACGGGGCGCGGGCTAATTTTACACTCCTATCAATGTGCATGTTAACATGTCAATGTGAATATTCACATTGTCACGGGTCCGGCCAAGCCCGCCTCGGGCTGCGGTCGGGCTTCAGGCCGCCCACGCGCTGCGGGCCAATTTTACACTCTTATTAATGTGAATGTTAACATGTCAATGTGAATATTCACATTGTCAACGAGCCGGGCCGGGCCCGCCCCGGGCAGCTGGCGGGCTTTTGGCCGTCCATGGGCCGTGAGCCAATTTTATACTCTTATCAATGTGAATGTTAACATGTCAATGTGAATATTCACATTGTCAACGGGCCG